ACATAAGCACTATAGGGGGAGGTCTTTGATTTTCTTATTTGTTGATTACGTCAACAGTAATTATTTACTTTTTTACACATATTACCCACACATTGTCTATGCTTGAAAAGGAAATGCATTTTCGAGGAACAAATAAAATAATACGTATATGTACTATTATTTTTGAGAGCTTTTCGTACTTTTGCTGACAAGAGGGGGGGGGGATAAATTGCAGTAAATCTGCTTACGTAATACGATGTCTTGTCTAGATTGTGCGAGGTCAAAAATGTTGGCATGTGTGGTTTAATTTAACTAGACCGTATAATCTAAGTATTATGATCAAATTCACATGGATTATGTGTTCAGACTGACCTGGCTTTGCAAGACTTGGGGCATATATATATACTAGTAGACTCGGCCAAGCGTTGCTATGGCTAAGGTTTTTGTTATATTACATAATAGTAAACTATTCAAGGGAAACGGTAGGAGAACACCAGTCATGGGGTGCTTTATTGGAGGTTTTGCCATTGTAGCTTATGTGAAACGTTGTTACTTTAATCACAGCGCCATCTGTTAGAATTGGACTCTCAAATAATAAACAAATATTTTGCAATAAAATAATATATAAATTGAGATGTAAGCTATCCTATCTTTTAAGTTAGATGAAACTGCACACGGTGTGTAAATTTGATTGATATCAGTTCGGTAGTTTAGAAGTCCATAGCGGACAAACAACGTGACACGTAATTTATATAATATATTAAGATATAGTACAAAGACTGTAAGTAGTGTTTGGACACTTTCATATGTTCGGCTAGATCGTAGTGTAAGTAGTAAATGTGCTGTTTATAAAAAAAGGGGTGCGTGTACTTATGTACGCGCGTAAGAAGTTATACTTCTTTGGCATTATTAAAAATAGTTTTTGATTGCATGCAAATAATTAATTACAAATAAATAACCAAAGACTGGAAAAGGAGTCATTATAGTCAATAAAGTTCAGTTTATATTTGACAAATTAAATAAATAAATATTTATTATTATTCTCTTACATTAAGTGTAACATAAATTCTATTATTATTCGAATGTTGTTTTTAAATTATGTCCAATGCCGTAGCATCTTCCATGGGCAACTTCATTCTGTTAATTTTGTGTCACGGTGCGCGCGCATCGTAAAATTTCACTCTCATCAATTTTTCATAACGCGCCTAAAGAAGTATAACTTCAAAAAATAATAAGTGGCGAGAATTAAGTGTATTCATCGTATTACTTGGTTATCGGTGCCATGAATTACTGACTGATGGACAATATTTTCTTATAGAACGGGCAGGAGGCTCACCTGATGTTAAGGCTCGAAAATGTATTTTTTAAATTGGTACGCTCTTTGAAGGACCCTAAGTCGAATTGGTTCGGAAATACCCACCGCCCAAGGATACTCTCAATGTCAGAGGGCTCACGAGTGCGTTGTCAGCCTTTGCAGAATTGGTACGCTCTTTAAAGGACCCTAAGTCGGATTGTACGATAAATTTACACCATAACGCTTTAGTCTCAATAAAGCCTTTCCCTCATATGTCTTTGCCCTTGAAAACAGTCACAAATATGTGTCATTATTTCCTATATTTCAAGGTGACCGGATTTGGACAATTGGAATTCTTAGATATATCCGGCAACAACTGGCGGATATCCGTTAGTATTGCATATTTAACGACAGCATATAATATCATTCAAAATAAAACCTAGGCTTGATTGTGCAATGGGCTTTTAACATTCGCTCCTAAGAAGGACAGTAACACCGGCATTAGACCCAATCAGGTATAGGCCGATCACCTACTTGCCACAACAAACAGATACATAGGATCCAGACCTAAAAGGGCACTAATTTTATATTTTATTTGTATTATTATCTATAGTCACTAATAAATGTAAAATGATTTTTATTTATCAAATTGTCTATTGTATTGCGCATTACATAACAATGTTATATATGAATTAATATAGATCTATGCGTCACGCCTTGCGCCATTCACTTGTCCTGCCCAGCTAGTGGTTTAAATCATACACGGAAGCGGGAATTCATTTAAAGGATTTGACGTAATTTTAAATATTTTTGCAGGGTTTACAAACATTTTAGGAGATTTAAAAGAGTGACGGAGCATTGCCAGCTCTTCTCATTCTACACCTTTGATTTGAGAACTGGCAATGTAAATTCTTTACTGACATCGATTAAAAATATGGAAATCGATAATTTATTTGTATTTTTTACAGTAATAAAATATAAAAGTTATGGTTCTTTATGAAATAACGATAGTGAAACCCAAGGTGTGAACTAATAAAGAGTCCCATGCTCCGGAAACCATTGACAATAGAGCAATGTACTACAGTTTTATATATGACATCAATATCTACATATTATATCTAACAATTTCTGCATTTAAAAGCAGTAATAAAATCGCTGATACCAAATCGCTACCGCTACAGCTTACAACGTAAATCGCCTTTCACTTACATTCCTTAATTCACGGTCAGCGCAATGATAACGTGGCGGGGGAAACGGGTTTGGTAATGTGGACTTTATTTCACTGTAATTAAATAAAATGTTTTAAGTTCCGCATTAACTAATAGATTAATTTTGGTTGAACGCGTTTTTAACCTTCAGTTAATATATGTTTAACGACGCCCTTGATTTGGGTTAAATAGTCCTTGTTTTTTAATATAGAGCAGTGTTGGTCTAGTGTCTTCGGCGAGTGACTCTCATCCATGAGATTCAAACCCCAGTTATGCCCCAATGCGCATTTAACACTCGCTCATACGAAGGAAAACATCGTGAGGAAACCGGCTTGCGTTAGACCCAAACAGTCGACGGTGTGTGTCAGGCACAGGAGGCTGATCACCTACTTGCCTATTAAATTAACAAATGCCTATTAGATTAAATTATTTTAATATTTTTTAATAGTTAATAGAAATTGAAACTGATATTTTCAACTTGGTGACGGGGCTGTATATTTTTCCAATGTATCAATCAAATCGAAAAATATTTTGCTATGCCCTAACCTTGAAGACCAAATCGAGTATTTTTTTTATATTTATTCCTTGAACTCTGTCTGAGGAAGGTTTTTGTAGAGGATCATTCGAAAAATATGGGGCACTATTACAAAATCTATATGTTGGTATATATGTCACCGTAAATTTTACGGTGACATATATAAAACAATCATAATAAGGTGAAACGAAGTTATTAATAATGACAAGAACTCTTTTTTTTATCCGAGGTGGAAATAAAAAATCATCTCTTCCCCCAAAAGTTGCGTCTCACAGGAGACGCCCTTGTGCTAGTCGTGGAAAACAGCCCGAGCTGAGCCATCTAGAACCTTCAAGCCAACAGCAAGCCATTGAAAAAAGTGCGTGCGTACAAAGTACACATGTCACATGTGAAACTTCTTTGGCAAACTAATTTTTAAGTCTTGTTTATATTTATACAAATATAAAACTTTGGATTTCCGAGACTTGGAGGGAAAAAGGAAGATATGTTAGGAATTTAATGAATTTAATTGTCATTAAAATATTAAAAGTGTCGAAAATTAATACAATTTATTACAATTAGTTAAATTACATTTAATTTTTAAAATTTATATCTTCTATAATAAAAACACGGCATTTTAATTTACAATTCTTCATTTGAGATTTCAATCAATTATTTTGCATAAAATACTAATATTTCATAAATTCTCTTTACGAAATTTTAATTTTAAAATAGAATTTCTATAATGTGATTCGTCCTTCTCACTCTCTCTCAATTGGTATCAATCGCTTTCTCCCTATTCAGAAAAAACAATTCCCCCATGCGCCTAAGGAAGTTTCACTTCAAAAACTATAAGCTTCAGATTGACCCACGATGGCCCAAGCCGAGGTCCGAGTCTCGCATTAAAATAACAGTAAAACAATTTCGACATTAACTATATTTTGTTAATGTTAATTTTGTAATAAAGTTAAAATTACTTACAGTTATAATTAACTTTTGTTTTATCTAAATTGTTGAAATCGACACTAGGTCGACTCTCACAATTGTTACGTAATCTGTGAAACTTTCTTAATTATCATAATTCATAGTTATTATTTATTCAACATAAAATATTATAATTACTATATAAAAATAGAACAAAATCTTTAAAAGCACTAATAACAATATTTCTATTGTGGCAAGTATTCTTCTGTTTCTGCTTCATGAGGCAAGTAGATGATCTTTGCCTGATTGGGTCTAATGCCGGTGGTACGATGTTCTCGCTACAACCTTTTAGGTCTGGGCCTCTTATGTATCTGTTTCATGATCATTTGTCAATCTAATGGGCTAGAAGATGATCAGTCTCCTGTGCCTGACACAGGCCGTCAACTTTCTGTTTGTGATGTATTCCTTCACCGTACGAGCGAATGTTAAATGCGCACATAGACAGACATTCCATTGATACACAGCCGGGGCTCGAACCTACGACCATAGGGACGTGAGTCGCACGCTGAAGCCACTACTGGTCTAAAATGTGTTTTTTTTAATGTATCAAACGATGAAGAATATATTTGGGGAATGAGGATTGGTCCAATCAACAACATGCCTTAAAAATAAAAAAATCTCGAGTTTATTTGCACATCCCTCCAACAACAACCACCGAACTCTCGCAACAGTTCTTCTACCGTAAAAAGTGAGATCCATGTAATACCAAGTCAATTCAGTCTCTACTTCAGGTACCTTCTATCTTAAGTTATTACGTAAGGGAGCGTTCAAGTATTACGTAACGAAATTTGGGAGGGGGGATATTATTTTCGACTTTCCAGTACTTTACACCACATAATGGTAACTTTTAGGTATAAAGAGTCACTGGGTGGTCACGAAACGTTTTATTATTGGGTATAGAAAAACGTTACGGTGCGTTACATGGGGGCCCCCCCCAATATCTGTGGTCGGTATCGGTGTCAATAATCTCCAAAAACTGCGTGACGTAATACTTGATCGCCCCCTAATAAGCTAATCTAACATGTTATATCACCATAGTGAGTCACCATATCAATATTAAAAATATTTTGTAAATAAAACATTAGGCTTTTAATTTTATCCACAACAAAGTTATAGAGGCTCGCAAATGGCCTTAATTAATGAAAAACATGGTGTTGTCGCCGAATAAGTAACAAATTGCACATACACCATATAGAACTGGTACCCTGGTATACTGGTATGGACCTGGAGGCCTGACAATATCCTTTATAGTCATTTTATTAGTTATTTTCTCTTACAGAAGAACAACATGATCAGAAGAAACGTCAGCGTCCAAGAGACATGTCCTTGGCTGAGCCACCACACACCATGGAGATAGCCCAGATTCTGATGTCGCTGTTGCACGCCTGGGGACTGGATCCAGACCTCGATAGGGTCTGCGAATCAAAACTTGGACTGCTGAGGCCCATGGTAAGTTTTTTGGATACTTATTGAGACTGGCTGAGGTGGAAGGTAGTCTTACATCAAAAGACAGCGTGACGAACCTGCTTCAGCTCTTACCTTGTAAATTGTCAGCGAAAGGAGGTTCATAAATGCGCAGGCAAATATAACTATGCTCTGATGAGATGGATGGTTGACACCACGGATGGTCAAGAACGTTTGCATCATTCGAGGTTCTGGTTCACCACCTTTATCTTCATCATTTTGATAACCATCGATCTCCATCTTCAGAGTAGCATGGATCTTCCAAATGTTTGAATATAATTTTATTCATACAAAAACCGCATGAAAGGTCCATTCGTTATGAAGCTGGCATAAAACAATGGTTAATGGTTGCAGCTCCTTACAAACGTTGTGTAAAACATAAAACTTGGCAATTAAAAAGAGTGGCGGAGACTTTATTGCCAGTTCTTCTCTTCCGTTCTACGTCCTTGATTTAAGAACTGGCAGTAAATGTAAAATAAGAAGCATTTCATATATATTTTGTTTTGACGTTCATAAGTGTATATTGTGTTACCTATATAAATAAATGATTTAATTTGAATTGAAGTTGACCCCACCTGGATTGCTGGTTCAGTTGTTAAAGTGGGCCATTTCTGCAGCTCCACTTTTAAATATGACATTACAGGTGCCGGTATGTTTCGGTGTGGTCTCCCGTCATGGACACATGGCTGTCCAGCTGCCAAGTTGTCTTGGAGCCTGGATTGACTCCTTTGCTCATATGCCAGTCGACCATATGCTGTTGAGTTCAAACCTTCCGCCGGAGCTGGTTGCGCAGGAGAAGTTGACTAGGTAGAAACTTAATTATGATAGAAGATACTGTATCTGTTGCGTGAGAATTTAGTCTATAGTTCGAGACTCTCATCGTAAGTTCGTATTACGGCTTTGCAATTGAGTTCACACTCACTCGTGCGAAGGAAAACATCGTGAGGAAACCGGCATGAGCCCGGAAATCAATGTGTCTCAGACATAGAAAATTAAACACCGTATTGTCTAAAAAAGATAGAAGAATCGGATGCAATCTCAGGCCCAGATATGGGATTATAATGCCAGGTTTATTAATCCAAAGCCAAGTTAAAAGTGTATGGAAAACGCGTATAAAGGTAGACATTTTGGGATTATCTTGGCACGTGAGGGAAAGGATAACAGGCACTTTAGATATACGCCTACGTTCTTCCGAAAACTATATCCTTGAAATCCCATCTCATAACTCTTTGCTGTGAGGCTATGGAATTCACTTCCCGACCCTATTCGCTCAGATCATTCTCTATTATTCTTAAAATCTCTACTGTTCAAGCATTACTGTCCACATCGTATCCTTAACTTTTGTACTAACTGATGTGTAACTGATCTAAAATTATTGTGATCCATTTGCACTTTTTCTTTTACATGTGGCCTTTCTTTTAATATTGTCAGATATTGTTTTAATTGCTTTGCTTTGTTCCATTAGTTATGTCTAAATAACTGTATGTCTTAAGTATTTTGCAGTTATTTAATTTTTTATTCTCTTACATTGTTTGCCTGGAAGAGATCGCTCGTATGCGATAAGGCAGCCAGTTGCCCTCCTTTTTATTTAATTATGTTATAAGTACTATATTTTTGTAGAAGTGTTAATCAATAAATATATATTTTCAGGCTTTTCAGCTCGAAGCTACACTGGGAACTGAGCACAACATTGACGACGAATCATCTTTTGTCTATTGTCGCGTTGGCGAACACTCTCATGTCTATGAGTAATGCCAGTTTTGTGCCGGAACAGGAAGTTGCCAGACGAATGCACAGGTAAAATATGTCCTATAATTGACCGACCTGTATAACAGTGTTATATATAAATATATACATAAATTATATACAAGAAAAAAAATATATATAGCTAAAGCTGGAATACATAATATACCAAAACTTACATGAAAGGAAAAAATCTATAAATAATATTAAATAGGTCATACCTAAAACGGATGATGATGATGGTGTGGTGGGTGAGCTCATTATGCAAATGAGGGATCAAGACATTACATAACTATCATTCCCAATGTTGAATGCCTGTGCACATAGCACACCTTATATCCCCTACTTCGACTCGACCGTGGGCGGCTGTTGGGTAAAATCAAGCGATTTTCCCAACAGCCGCCCACGGCTGGAAATTCTGGAATAAAAGCTTATTCCAGACCCACAACCCGTACACCATCGTGGGGTGGTGACGAGGAAAGAGAGGAACAGATCGCAGCCCAACAAGCTCACATCAAGCAGGGCTGGTCTCTCTTGGCCACGCTGCACTGTGTGCTTTTGCCGGACAAAGTGGTGGCTGCAGGTCAGTAGATGATGGGGGAAGATAATCCATCCTGAGTATCTTTTTATCGTAGAACTGATAATTTAGTCTGGAAAATCATTTATGGGTCCAAATCCCTTTATTTCCCCGAGGCTTCCAGACCTCAAAATCTCGTCCTGGTTATCCACAAATTTCTCTGCTATTAGGTATGGCCCAAGATAGGTTTCATCAAAATCAGTTCAGACGTTTTTCAGAATTGTTTTTTCAGTATTTGATATCTAAATTATGATTTTTAAGGTGCAAAGAACTTTAAGAGGCCCCAAGTGGAGATGCTAGCACGCAGATGGCAGCACCATTGCCTCGAAGTTCGTGATGCTGCTCAAGCGCTGCTGCTCGCCGAACTTGCTAGGTTTAAAATAGATTTAAAAATTATTTTTACTCAATTTCCTATCGACACAAAAAATATTTTGGGTTTATTCCTTTCAGGTTGGGACCAAAAGGCCGTAAAGCGTTGGTTGACAATTGGTCCCAATATTTACCCTTATACACACATACGGAAAGCATAAATCCGCAAGCGGCCCAGAAGGAACCAGCTGAGAAGATTGTTAAAGACGTAAGTATTAAAAAAATAGAAGAACAGTGTTGGCCTAGTGGCTTCAGGGGGCGACTCTCATCCCTGAGTCGTAGAACCCCGGCTGCACCAATGGACTGTCTTTATGCGCATTTAACACTCGCTCGTACAAGGAAACCATGAGGAAACCGGGTTGTCTTAGATCCAAGGCGACAGCGTGTGTCAGGCTCAGGAGGCTGATCACCTACTTGCCTATTGAAGACACAAATAATCGTGAAACAGATACTTTCTGAGGCCCAGCCTAAAAAAGAATGGTAGCGCCTCTGATTTTTTTTATTAAGAAGTGAAGGTAACCTTCCAACAGTACCAAATATTTTAGTTTAATTATCTAATGAATTACTAAAAGATATGTTTTAGTTATATTGTTTTTATGTCATAACAAAAACGTTCTACAAAGTTATATATAGCCAGCTTCGGACTGGTCTGACACTAAAACTAAGATGATTCATTAGAAGTTTTTGGTATGCTGCATACCTACCTTCCTCATGGATCAATATTAGTGAAAACCCCCAAGAAATTGCGTCCAGTAGTTTTTGAGTTTCACTTATTTTTATAATAGACATATGCTAACCATACAATCAAATAAATATCCAAAATTAAATCGAAAAATCTCTTATAGCCAGAAGAAGAGTTCGAAGAGGAAGAAGAGGAGATTGTGCGTAAGCCATCTTCTATCGCAGAACTGAAGAGGAAGCAGACAACCGCAGTTGTTCTTTTGGGAGTTATCGGTGCCGAGTTCGGACAGGATATTACCAGCGAAGGTTGTTCAAATGATATATTTGTCTAGCGAATCCGACAGACGGTGTCCTATTCACACGTCTTACATTTGAAAAATTATATAAAATAATGTAAATCATTTTCGACTCCACTTGAACACACAAAAAATTTCATCAAAATCTGTCCAGCCGTTTAGGAGTTTTATTACGAACACATGCGCAGTAGATTTATATATACCAGCTGGTTATATGCTGTTTAGATACATAACCTAGATTAAGCAAAGCCATCTGCCGGGCTGATTTGTGAATCTAAACCATCCACCTAAACGCATACAAAAATTTCATTGAAATCAGTCCAGTCGTTTAGGAGAAGTTCAGTGACATACAGTAAATAAGTATTTAATGTATGAAAATATATCATTAATTTATCAAAAAATATTTTTTTTTTACGTCACGTGACATAAACGCTTGTTTTCGTCTGTCAAATACTAAGCAACTCAACTCTTCGTTGGGTCGACAAATTTAATCAGAACTTAAAGCGATTTCTTAAAGGGGGATACTAAAGGGAAACAGTAAAAGTTGTGTTTAGTTAATTTACAAGTAACTTTATAAAAGTATTTTCTAGTATGTAAAGTGTTATTGAGTATTTAAAAACATGGATATGGAGTAAAATTGTAAATAATGGATAAAAAAATACATTTGTATCGCAGTCACGTGACACAGATTAGCTATTAGAGCACACTGATAAATCCTTGGAAATTTTCGTCGGAGGCTGTTTTTGAACGAAACATGTGTTAAGAATGACAATTGACAATCAACGCGGCGAGGGGTTTAAAATGTTAGTTGGAAAATGTATTATTCTCTCGTATTTTTAGGTGCAGGCAACAAGAGACGCAAAGATGGTGACAGCAGAAAGAGTTCCATTGTTGAAGGTAAGGACTCAGATTGGTTTTGATAAAAACCGAAATTAAATCGTAGAACTTGATAAATACAAATTTAAAAAGTTTCGTCCCGTGCTACCTTTAATGCTGGCCTTTCCTCGCTGTATTGCGATACTTATTTGGCTTTATTAGGATTGGTATATTGTCTATGCCATTTACATAATCTCTGGTGTTTAAATAAATATTCCACTTTAGGAACAGAATATTACAATTATTGTTAAATGTGGCACAAATGGACATAGAAGGTCCATTGGTGCGCCGGAGATCAAACCTACGACCTCAGGGACGAGAGTCGCACGTTGAAACCACTAGGCCAATACTGCACACTGTGGATTTTATCACATTGTCTATTACAGGAATGATACAGTCTGCTGTCTATGGACTATTATATATTTTATATTTGTTGGTGTTCAGGGTTCACATTAAGCGCTTCGAATAACCTGGCGCGCTTGACAGCGTTGGCATTGACGCACCTGCTCCTTGCGCCCGGATCCGCTCGTCTCCCCGCCCATACGCCCTTGCGACGCGCAGCCGTCGACCTCTTGGGGCGGGGCTTCGCTGTATGGGAGCCGTATTTGGACGTTAGCCATGTGCTGTTGGGTGAGTTAAGCGTCAGTTATTACAGTCTAAAATTGGATGGGGATTTTTAAAGTTAAGCGTCAGTTTGTGTGGTCTAAAATTGGATGGATGTTTAAAAGTATTAGGCGACAATTGTGTTTATTTACCAAATATTTGTAGTTGATATCAATGTACTAATAAAAATCTTTTGAAGTTAGGCCTGTTATAAATTTGCAGGTCTTCTGGAAATGTGCTCGGACGCTGATAAGCTGGTCCCGTCTATGACGTATGGTCTTCCTCTGACAGCTCAGGCCGACTCTTGCCGTACTGCGAGGCACGCCCTCACTCTCATCGCTACTGCTCGGTATGTTCCATTGGAATACTATGAAGTGTGATTAGACAATCAACAAGTATGAACTTGTTTGGGTTTAAATTTCAGTTTGATCGCGGAACAAAATCTAGACACTTTGTGAATTCGAATTACTCATTTACAAAATAACTCTTAACTTATTTTATTTTAATTATTAATGAATTGAATAATGGAATTGATTTAATAATTGAATAATTAATGTTGAATAATCTACAGCCCAGCAGCCTTCATTACCACGATGGCTCGCGAGGTTGCCCGCTGCGCCTCGGCCCCCTCCGGTGCTCCGCCTCCGGCTGCTGCCCTGGCGCTGCAGAGGGGCAGGGCTGAGGTGCTCAGGGGTATTGAACTGCTCATTGACCGGATGCATCATGAGGTGGCACCGCTCTTGGTCGAGGTGGGTTATATTCCTAAAAATTTGCTTAATACTTTATATTAAACTATATTATAAGTAAAGTTTGTGGGGTCGTAAAGGGTGATCTATCGATTTCAAAAAATCTTTTACCAATAGAAAGCCTCGTTATTTTTAATAACATCATCCAAAACACAAAAAAACATTTTTATAGGAATTCTACTTGATATTATTCTCTCACTAATGCCGATTCTTATCTTATATCTAAAATTCTCGTGTCACAATGTTAGTTACCATGCTCCTCGGAAACGGCTCGACCGATTTTTATCAAATTTTTTATGCATATTCAGTAGGTCTGAGAATCGGCTACTATCAATTTTTCATACCCCTAAGTCATAAGGGTTGTCCACCCCTAACATTTTAATTTTATTTTCCAGACGAAATTTTAATTTTATTTTTTATAATGCACCATTAAAAAATGCGTACAACCCTAAATTTTCACCCCTCTACGATTAACCTTTATTTTTTATTATAGTAGATAGTTATTTTTATTGAACTAAAAATTTTTCCTAGAAATAATATAGGTACCTGGCAAAACAACGTTTGCCGTGTTAGCTAGTATATATATAACAAATTGTTTTCAAATGATGTTCCAGGTAATGGATATAATCTTACACTGCGTGGACCAGTCTCATTTGAAGAGCAAAGGGCTCAACGAAGTGTTTCCAGCAATATGTCGATACAACCAGGTCTCGCATTGCCCTGCTACCAGGCGGATTGCAGGTAATTGTCATTATTTACTTACAATATATAATGAGGCTACTACGTAACTTCGTTCATAGTAGCGTCAATTTCCGATAGACGGCGCTGATTCAGTTCCGTCATCCTCTTTTAAACAACGCTCTTCTAGAAGCACGCTGGATTTCCTCCACTTCGTTGTTGACATCCTCAGGCCAAACCAAATGTTTGTAGTTTTTGACGTGACAACGTCTTATAATTCAATGGAGCCGGCTGCACGCACGAAAAAACATGACGCATGCGGCGTTACCTCGCTCTGAGGCGTTCCATTTAAGGCTTGAAGTGCAAGCGAGAGCGCGAAGCGACAGAGAGGCACAATCGGACTCCGCGCTCTTCGGCGTTCGACATCTGTCTCTCTCCTACTTGAGTGAGTGATTCGTGACGTTGTCACGTTCAACTATCGTCAGTAAACCGACTTTACAGACAACCAATTTTTGTTCACAGCTACTTATATAATAATAAAATAAAATAAAAATTGTTTATTCATATGTATAAATATCATAGTAAAATCCATAAAAATTATCTTTTGTCGTCCACAGTGGGTAGCCACACGGGTCAACTCGCGATATACGAGTTGCGGGCGGGTAGATGCCAGTCGCTGGCAGCCCACACTGGCCCTGTTACGGCCTGTGCCTTTAGCCCAGACGGGAGGTATCTGGTTTCCTATGCCACGTCTGACAATAGGCTGTCTTTCTGGCAGACCAGCGCTGGTAAGTTTTAGATTTAAGAGCTAGTTTGTAATAAAATTACAAGTAATCATAATTCACGGTTAAAAAGCTGAAAACGCTGTAAAAATGATTATTTTTAAAGAGAATTTTAATTACTTGTATGAATCACGGATTATATCCAATATACATAAAAACATTATGTTGTATGCCCTTTAAACATATAGCTATCCAAACGCCCAAAAATATATAAAATTATGTTTAACAAGAAATAGTAAAAATATGAAAAAGAGCAGTATTGGCCTAGTAGCTTCACGTTGCGACTCTCATCCCTAAGATCTTAGATTCCTCGGCGGTCAACTAATGGACTTTCAATATGCGCATTCAACGTTCGTTCGTACGAAGGAAATCATCGTAAGAAAACCGTCTTGCCTTAGACCAAACATGACGGCATGTCAGGCACAGGGGGCTGACCACCTTCTTGCATTGACAAACCGTGAAACAGATACATAAATCTGAGGCACAGACCTAAAAAGGTTGTAGCGCCGCTGTTATGTTTAATATCAAGTACCTATATGATAATTTTGGATTTTATCAATTTAAGTGGAGTTATTCTTAAACCCAAAAATAGTTGCCTACATAAGTCCTTTGCGTTCACAAATCTCCGTTTTATTAATCCATATTATTTGTAGAAAAGCTTCTATAAACACTGTGTCACAATTATAATAATTAAATCAAACAAAATCAACTGGATTTTTCAGGTATGTTTGGTTTGGGAGCGGCTCAAACGCGTTGCGTAAAATGTTATAGTACAGCGCCAATGGCGGACGTGACTCGGCTGAATCCGGCTAGATTGGCTCGTCTCGTTTGGAGCTCATCACGGTCTGTTACACTGATGCTGGCTGACGGATCCGAAACACGATTCAATATTTAATTCAGTGTTAATTATTCATTCGTGTTTTGATGATAATGATTGTTGTATTAAATTTGTAATGATTCATGATTAAGTAATAATTATTGTTTTATTAAATTTGTAATGATTCGTGTTTTAATGAAAAAAGATTATTTGTTTTATTAAATTATTCCTTCAGTATTAACTTTCATGTTATTATTGTGTAATTTATGAATTCAAAATGTCATTATTCAAACTTTAATTAATTATTATTATTCAAATAAGAACCTATATTAATTGTTAACGTGTTAGTATGATATTCTTAATATATGCTTAGATAACTAAAAATTATATAAAACTATAGATATTCAAATACTTTTGATTAATTAATGGCTATTATAATATAATCAATAAATAAAATTGTATAATTAAACGCTTTTTAATACGATTATTTGAGATTGGACTAATGACATGCGGCAATAGGTTGTAGCGCCACTTTTTTTTAATTAATGTTAATCTCTATAGTTGTAATATTCTTGTTTAATGTTTAGAAATCTTAAATAAAGTGTATGTTAATTCGTGTTTTATTTCGACTGAGCGTGACCCTGACAGGATATTTAAAGAGAAACTTTTGTCATTTATAATCAACAATTATAGATAACAAATGAACTGAAAAATTTGTAGGCTAACGAAGAAAAATATTAGGTCCTTACATATGAAATTGGCGTTTTATATGGGAGGAACAAAAAGTCGAATATTTTTAAATATAATATATTTCATTAATCAAAGTATGAACCATTGTTTTCTATGCACTTTTGCCATCTCATAGGTAGTTCATTGATCCCTTTACTAATATATATACTTATTTTTATACTGATTAAATATATTAAAAATATTCTAAAGTAAAGACCCAATTTGAATACACGAACGTTGTTCTATTCAAAACAGAAATAAAAAATAAAATGCCTTTCCCATTTTCATGGGTCAATGTTGAGATCAAGTTTTAATCTTTTATATGGCAATTTTTGTGTAATATCTATACATTAATTATTACTTTTCACTAAAGCTATCGCATTAGTGCTGTTGTATTTTGCTATGATAGTACTGACCTCACGTCAAGTTTGTAATTCGTTAACGTAGTTACATCTAAACTGACGAGATGGCGCTGATAAAAAGAAAATTTGTAAAACTATTTTTTTTGTTTTCACTTTAGAAAGAGTTTTAATAACAGATCGCACTTAGAGATTTAGCTTTATAATGTGTTATGCTATTTCTTATCAATGCTTATTTATACGTCTACGTCAATAGCTCTGCAAAAGAAACTTGTAGTTATGGTTAGTTACACTAGATGGCGCTGATCTAAATAAATCTTGTAATAACTGAAGTTTTTTTGTTTTCACTTAGAAAATTGTATAATATTAAATTACACTTAGAGATTCAGCCTTTAAAATTATTTTGTTTAATGCTGATTCTTTTCACTATTTATAATTCATGTAATAGCTCTGCAAAAGAAACTTATAGTATTTTGTTTTTTTTATGGCTCGGCACGGTTTGTGCATTAGCCAGCGTCAAGTATAAGATTTTTATAATTGTGCTTGCCTTAGAAATTCGACCGTGTCCTCCATTTACGGTTTAAGCACTCGCCCGGTACCGCACAACCCTCCCAAAGGCCGAGAACAAATTTAAATTAAATTAAAACTTGCCCTCGAACCGGGAATCGAACCCGGTACCCCTCACCTAGCTGCCACTTAATAAGACCGCTAGGCTATGAGGCCCTTTAAACTTATAGTTATTATTAGTTACACGAGATGGCGCTGACCTAAAGAAATTTTGTAAAAAACGTGCTTTGAGCTTTTACTTGAGAAAATTGTACTAATATTAGAGAATCAGTATTTTAAATTATAATTGTCGAGTACTGATATTACTGTCTTATTAGCATTATTTATATAATAATTTGGAAGTATTACCTGAAATGTTTTCCAGAAAATCGGTAATATTGTAATACATTTCGATGTACCTAATTTCGTATTAACCTCGTATTTGCCGCTCGTCGCTCGGAAAAATAGCGCCTAAAAGCAATATCTCACTTCCGGCACAGCGAGATAAACAGTAATGTATAAAATTTAAATAAAAACTTGCCTACAATTTATTAAGCTTTTTTTCGAGTCGATAAGTGTACCAACACGAGTTTTATGTAACTATATCCACCGTTCAATAATGTTAGTTTAAACTTTAACTCATTGTATTAATCTGTCCTCCAACTTTAATTTTGTTCTCTTTGGAGTAGAGTTTAAATAAGCGCCTGGTAACCCCAGAGCTGGTGCTTTCCTCGACGATTAATCGCGATACAGCGAGTAAATGCCAGTATTAAAGGGAGCATGTTTTAGTGTGTTATTATTATTATGTAGGTTAAGAATATTGTAAATACTCTATAAGTATTCTGACGGCTCATTGGTCTAGTGGTTAGTACCCCTGACTGCGAATCCATGGGTCCCGGGTTCGATCCCCGGCTGAGACAAACATCGATGTGATGAGCATTTGGTGTTGTGATTAGGTCTTGGGGGTAAACATGTATTTATATATCTATCTATCTATAATATGTATGTATATCCGTTGCCTAGTACCCATAACACAAGCTTCACCAGCTTAGCATGGGACTAGGGCAATTGGTGTGAATTGTCCAATCATATTATTATTCATAGTATTTGTTGGAAATAAAACAAATATCACAAACCACACATTTATTGTAGTTCAAATCTTACACATTTCCATCGAGTTGCGAGATCGTTACGGAAGCCATATTTCACATAAACAATAGACTAAAGACATATTAAACCAAAGACACGCAAACTTAATGTAAATTACGTAAATAATTTTAAACTATTACAATTAAGACATTTAGGCCTGACCACTGAACATAAAACAATTTATGACGTCATTTAGCAATACTGCGGTCACCGCAAGCGGACCGCAAAAGTACAGTGCAACGATTTGTAAACGCTGTATAATTTTTATCCGAATAAAAAAAACCGATGCTCATAAGTTAATTACGATAGTGATCAGGCGCCTCTGACTTACATAAAAATGACCTCACAACTGCAATACAATATCCATCATTTAGCACCATTCCGTGATATTATCGCTTTTTTGACGGTAGTTTCAAAAATGTCTCAACCTATTTTAATCTTCTATTTCACGGTCGTTGTTGAAGTCTAAAGTCGCGCGTTAAAGTAGAATGGAGGCGTGCACATCCGAGACACGGGGTGTTCAAACTTTGTACGTCAAATTGTCAAATCAAAGGGTCAGGCACAAAAGGCCGATTACCTCCCTTTAAATAAAATATACAACTATGTACCTTCCGGCAGGGACAATAAAACATAAATGGATGTCTACCCTCATTACACTTTTCAAACAACCGTCACAAATCAACATTATAATAATCTTAAAACATTTCCAAAATAACATCTCTTCTTAACTCTTACTCTATCTCTTGCCTATTGCAAGAGATTGGGCAAAGACCTCCGGTACAAAGTTACTTAAGTTTTTAACGGTTTTACTTCTAGCTTAATCAATTGCAATCAATCGGTTTAAAACCTGTAAATTGCAAGGTCGATGCCCAAACCTCTCCGTTTCTACATATTCTAGTATAAGAGTGACTAAATATGTTTTAATGAAAAATCCTATACAAAAAAATTAAAATAATAACTTACGTAATATGGTATTTCGTCAACATTCAACAAAAACTTGTGCAAAGTCAAAAATAACATTTCTTTTGAAATCTTACAAACTTTAGAATTCATAAACATTTCAAATTCCGAACGCACTATTCCAATTTAGAACAAAACTCAATTCGACATTCGAATACATAATATTTAAAAACGCGCAAAAGTAAATCTTTTACAAATTTGCAACAAATTCTGCAAACGGAAAATGATATTTTGAATATCGAACAGTGAAGCTTAGAACTTACAATGTTTCACATAACAACGAATTGAACGAAATCCGAAAAGATGACGTCATCATATTAATACAAATTTCGAAGTACGCATTCTATACACAATTCGAAATTCAAATTTTCGCAACCGCTACAAAATTTTAAACATATAAGGAATATAACAGATGAATATAAATTCATATACAAAAAAGATTTATAAAAACACCTCTTAGACTATTTAAAAATATACATACATAGAAAATAATGGCAGCCATAGAAAATCTACAATATATAACCTAATGCTATTTACACAAGTTTTAAGAGCTTTTTCAAACATTTGACAGTTATCAAATTTTATTGGCACAAGGTTATAAAAGAACCCCCAAACTTGTTGACAATTCTGCCCCTTTTAAAGGTTCCGAACAAAATTATTTAGGTACATTTTTAAAATACCTTGCTAAACTATCACTCATATCATCACCAAATGTTATCAATACTTTTGATACAAAAACATACTATATAGTAAAAATGTCAGAAATGTCAAACATTTAAAAATACTCGACCTTAATTATATATGACTGATAATGATAATGACAAATGTTAAAAGTGGCAAAACTAAACTGAATAGAAATAGTAAACAATGAATTACTCTGTCTGCTCACACCATCCAAGGAAAGAACCACAGTTCTTATGAGTTATAGGCGCTCTGAAGACAAACTTTCTATCTCTCTCTTACGCATTGCAAAAAGAGTCGAGAGAGCAAGTGAGATGGAGAATGCTAGCGCCGCCAACTACGAACTAATCTGGGTACAGACCCGGAATTATCGCGGTACAGAATACAAAATCGAGGTTGGTGAATATAATTTATTTAAATTATGTTTTTTTACACGGTCTGACGTTCCGCAGTTGTTTTTTAATTCACCGCCTCGCACTAAGTTTGATTGTATAGTTGCGAAACGTAACGACTGGCCGTGTTGTGTAATTGGGAGATGATTGACAAGTCACAATCGAGTAATATTCAAAGTTTCCTTTTTTTAAAGTACCCGCGTTAAGTCTGCGTTTGCGCAATAGCTGTGCGCCAAGAGGAAACGAGCTTCAATAACATACC